AAAGTCATTGACATAAATATATATTCATTGACAAATTCAATATATACATGTTCAATAGATATTCATTAATATTACATTAAGTGATTAATTAATCTAAATCTTCATGCTCGTTATCCATATCATGTTCATCATCCGATGTAATATTGTCCTCGGATTCAAACTCTTCATCATTGTCTTCATCCACATTATTATCAACCAACAATATAGACGCATCAACTTGAAGGCCCTCAACAGTTGTATCGGACAAAGTTGTAATGTCTTCAGCTGCAACTACATCATTAATCTGTTCAACGTCATCAACTTGGTAGGCAACATCTTCCACTAGATCTCCAGTTTCAATATGACCTAGCGGTTTTGTTTTTATTACAACACACCATCCTCTTTTACGTATTACAAATGAAGGATAAGGAACATAATAAACTTGCCTAACAATATGTGACATTATGAAAGGGTCATATTCTTTGTATCTCCGGTTCATTTGAATCTCGACAGAACCATATGACTTGTCTATCTTTGTGCCTCTAGTTGGATCATACCATTCACAATAAAACAAGACAACTTTATTTTCCGTGTCCAAGTAATTGTATACCAACTCGTAGATATGTTTAACAAATCCATAGAAGTCGTCTTCACCGCCATCTGTAACTCCTTTTACAAAAACACCACTATTTATGGTTTTTTTCCCTTCGGTCCATGCCTCAGTGTGAAATTTATATCCGTTCACGAAGTATGTGTGCCAATCATTTGCGCTTTGGATAGGGCCTTCTGCCAAGTTTCTCAAATGGAGTATTTCTGGAGTTAGTGCAGGAACGCTAGACAATGTTTGCTTGAACCATGAGGGAAATTGAGCATGAATGACACCTGATGTTGACTGTACCCCGATACTATGAAAATAGGCATTGTTAAATTCCCTACAAAAAACACACAATAAGTTTAATAAGTTTGGTATACACACACCATAAGTTTAAAAAGTTTTGGTAAACTCACTCAAGATATGGTTTAACTTCAACGCAGTTGATCAAGACATGGACATGTGCAGATTGCATTTCTTTTTGGGTCAACCAATGTACACCCTTCTTTCCAGAAGGTCGACCTGGTAGCGCAAAGACTGATAAGGTGAATTGACTCCTCTGATTGACATTTACAGGATTCTGTATGATTCTAGGAGTTAACATCAAGTGATTGAAATAGTGACTGCAAAAATGTGATGTTTCCCGATGCAAGTAATGTGCACATATAGATCCTTCTACTCTAGCTTTATTTTTTACCGATCTCTTTGAATCACCCATGAACCTTTCAAACGGATACATCCACCTATATTGAACAGGTCCACCAAGATAAGCTTCATATGCAAGATGCACAGGTAAATGTTCCATGGAGTCAAAGAAACCAGGCGGAAATACTTGTTCCAACTTACAAAGAATGAGTGCAATGTTTTGGTCCAACTTAATGATGTCTTCCACTTTTAAAGCTGACGCACAAATATCTCTAAAAAATTGACTAATTTCAGTTAGTGGGTCAAGAACATGTTTGGGTAGCGATCCAAATGCAATTGGTAGCAACTGTTCCATAAAAATGTGACAATCATGACTTTTCATACCATGTAATTTTCCAGTGTTAGGGTCAGCACACCTTGCTAAATTTGATGAATACCCATCGGGCATTCTCAATTCTTTTAACCATCTACAAACCGCTTTAGCTTCTTGGGAAGTCAGACTGAAACAAGCCTTGAGTTTTAATAATTTTCCATTCGGTTGAGGCTTCAACTCCAACTCTCTTCGATTACACCAAATTCCCATGTCTTGTCTGGCCTTCTCATTATCTTTTGTTTTTCCTGTCACATCCATCACTGTGTTAAATACATTATCAAAAAAATTCTTCTCAATATGCATAACATCAAGATTATGGCGCAACAAATTATCTTTCCAATACGGAAGATCCCAAAATATACTTCTTTTTGTCCAATTGTGGGTGACGCCGTATCCTTCAATTCGGCATGCTTTCCCAGTATCTGTAAATTTTGGTAGTTCACATACTTGGTTCCATATAACCCCTGGTGGCAATCGAGGCGGAGGCAAATCTTTCTCTCGTACATCTTTTTTAAAATTTGTCTTGTTTCTTCTATACGGGTGATTTGCTGGTAGGAATCTGCGGTGACAGTCAAACCATGAGCTTTTCCCACCTTTATCCAACGTAAATGCTTTGGTGTATCCCATGCAATGCGGACAACCCATTTTTCCATGCGTACCCCAACCAGACAACATGCCATATGCTGGAAAGTCATTAACGGTCCACATCAAGGCAGCTCGTAATGTGAAGTTCTGTTTACGGGATATATCATAAGTCCATTCTCCAATCCACATCTTCTTCAAATCATCAATTAAAGGTTGTAAGTACACATCAATTCCGGCTTTTGGACTGTGCGGGCCTGGAATAACACACGTCAAAAACATGTATGGTTTTGTCATGCACATCTCAGGAGGGAGGTTGTAAGGTGTTACAATAACTGGCCAACAAGAGTACGCACTTCCTGACGCTTGCACGTATGGGGCAAATCCATCAGAGTATAATCCAAGCCTGACATTTCTAGGTTCTGCAGCAAAATCTGGATGCGTCCGATCAAAGTGCTTCCATGCCTCACCATCAGATGGATGTCGCATAGTGCCAAAACTTGTTTGGTTTGTATGATGCCATGTCATTTGACTTGCACTGTGCATTGAAGCAAACATTCTTTTTAACCTTGGTATTATAGGAAGATAAAACATGGATTTTACTGCTACACGCTTTTGCTTGCTGTTAACGGCTCTACTGCGAACTTGATATCTTGGACTATTACAAAACTTACACTCCTCTAACGATCCATCTTGAGTACCAAACTCATTGTCATAAAACAACATGCAACCGTTAATGCAACAGTCAATCTTTCTTACTTTTAAACCCAACTTCGACACCCACTTCTTTGCATCATAATAACTTGTAGGCAAATTGTCTTTCGTAGCGGTGGAGTCCAACATCATTTTTGCAAAATGTTCCAAACATTGATCAGAAACATTCCAATTTGACTTGGCAGCCAATAATCTCACACACATTGATAGCTTCGAGTCTGACGACCCCTCAAACAACGGCGTATTCATCTCGTTCAATAATTGATAAAATCTTTGCGCTTCCTCATTCGGCAACTCTTCCCCGTCAAAATCTTCAGGTTCATCATATGTCACGTTCACACCAAAAGCATCCTCAACCATGTCACCGATCAAATTAAAGTTCTCCTCATACTCCATAACCGGTCGACTACTTGAAGCATGCGTGTTGCTAGTCTCTGGTACATTAACCGGTAGTTCTTCACCATTATACGTCCAAACCCAATAATTTTCAATGAATTCCCTTCTATGCAGATGACGTGTTACTTCCTCTGGGTCACTAATTATTGGTCTACATTCACACTTAAGACAGGGACATCTAACCCCTCCTTCGCTTCGACAACAATCCTGAGCAAACGCCCACTTAATAAACCCATCAACTCCTACTATAAAATTGGGTTTAAGTCCACTTCTTCCTGGATATGTTATATCGTACATCCAACTGCGATAATACCGATAATATTCCATACTGCACATTTATACAATCATTGTCTTTTTCATTAGAAATATTCTTAAACTATTTAATACTATTCTTAGAAATATAAATTTTGCTTTTTTATATATATACTAACATATAAATAAATATTCAAATGTAAAATATATAATTTTTTATTACATAACAATAATATCAAAAAACAATAATATAACATATTTACTTTTTATTATATATACAACAATAATATTAGAAAACAAATAATGTAAGATACATACTATTTATTATTATATATATAACAATAATATTAAAATAATAATATAATATATATATTCTTTTTTTAATTATGTTTTTTATAAATTGTTATTCTAATATATAATTTTTTTTCCATATCTTTAACATATAAATAAAAAAATAAAACTATTATAATAAATACAATATACATCTATAAAAAACATGTTATTAAATATGTTATTAAATTTATGTTTTCTAAAATTTTTTTAAAAATATATTAAATATATTATTAAAAAATATGCAAATTACATATACAAATATACTACTAAAAAATATATAAATCACATATGCAAAAAATATGCAAATTACATATACAAATTACATATGCAAAAAATATATTAAATATGTTATTAAATATGTTTTTAAAAATTTTTTTATTATCAGTAATTTTATACTACTAACAGTATATACATATATTCCTAACCACAAAATACATATACAAATCTAATCTATATAATACATATAAAATCTATAAAAAAATGCATAAATACCTCTATATAATTTCTTCAATAAATTTGCGTCTTCTAGTTCTTTGTGTTCTTCAAATTTCTCTACAAATAATAACGAACAATCGAACAAATACCATGTTAAATACTTCATTCCAGTATAAAAAATAAAGAACAAACGAAATAAACATTTAACATCATATGAATACCTTAGATTTCTTCAACAAATTGGAATGGAAGAAAATTAATTCGCGAAATTGGGTTTGAGAGGAACAATTTTGAGTTTGTGAGAGTTGCTGTAATGTTTGAGAAGTAGCAAGCAAAGGAAGAAGAAGAAAGCACGCTACTGTAAATCAAAACGTTAACATATGTAACTTCTAGTAGCGACGTGACTGTCACGTCGCAACGTTGCCACGTGATAATCACGTCGCTACAAACTAATCATAAATACTATTCTCTCTCCAACACTGCGCAGCGAAATTATTTTTCCCCCCAAAAATTTAGCGACGTGGCTATCACGTCGCTACAAAATTTCAAACTTCCCTCTGAAAAACGTTCACCAATTTCCATTAAATGTCATTAAAATATATTAGCGACGTGGTTATCACGTCGCTACTACCCACGTGATAAACACGTCGCTAATATATGTCGCTGGGGACATATATTTTTGTAGTGATATATATAGTTATGATCCAAGGGTTTTACGGCAAGGGCTTATTTTATGAAGTGATGACCTTGTTGTCAAAAATGAAAGACAATAGTTACATTCCAGACGCCGTTACTTATGAAATAGTTATCCATTCCCTTTTTGATAAAGATGGAAATGATAAAGCGGAGAAATTTCTTCCTGAAATGATTGCAAGAGGTCTATTATAAGGCTGAAACTAGGTAATATATTTGCCTATTCTTGTACTTTATTATTTTGAATTTAATTTCTCCCTGAAATGATTGCAAGAGGTCTATTATAAGGCTGAAACTAGGTAATATATTTGCCTATTCTTGTACTTTATTATTTTGAATTTATGTTTCGACACAGTTTCATCATTTTAAAATTGTGGTTTGTGATTTAAATTAAAAGTGAAGTTTTAAATTCATTTTAACGTGACATTGTATTTCCTTTAATTGGATGGGAAATTCTAAGATACAAATGAATTGAATTGAGATAATTCGATGCTTGTATTTTTTTAAATTAGGGGCACATAATATCAATTTAAAAAGAATGAAAAATACTTAATTTTCTGCAACTTCTAACTTTTATGCAATTGTTTGAGAAGTTTCATTACTTGTCAATCTTTAAAAATTTGGGATCTATAATTGACAGCATAACTAGAAGGCATTATGAAAAACTACAAATTGTTGGGGAATCCAAAAGAGTCGGGAGTATCAATGGGACTAATGCTCTAGGACCACAAGAGAGGGAGACGCCACATTTCAATAAAAAAATTTTAAGGTGTTAGATAAATGGGTTATTTCTCTTATAAATCCAACATTACACTCATTCATAGGTAATGTGAGACTATAACCACTCACATTTACATCCAACATTCTCCCCCCTTAAGTGTGGGTCCCCACATATCCAACACCGGATCCAGCTCCCGCTCCCCCACTAAGCCGAACCACGGCTGTTATACTACTGTTGAATGTTGGATTTATAAGAGAGAAGACATATTTACTTAACACATTAGAGTTTTTGGTTGAGATGTGGTGCCTCTCTCTCTTGTGGTTCTGGAGTATTAGTCTCATTGGTGCTCCCGACTCTCTCAGACTCTTCAACATAGCATTAGGATTAAAGCTTTGGGTTTAGTATGTGGCATAGTCTAAAATCAGTTGATTGAGCTTAATGAGACTTTAATCACGAGGTTACGATTTATAAGGAAATTGGTAAAATTCAAAGTAATTTTCTGTGGGGAGGTTGTCGCGATAAAAGGTGTATTCATTTTATCAGTTGGGAGAACGTTTGTTTGCCGATTAGTAAAGGCGGGTTAGGATTTAAAAGTATAGAGGAATTCAATATTGACCTTTTATCAAAGTGGAAGTGGTTGATTTTGCAAGGAGAGGATTCGGTATGGATGAATATTCGTAGAGCTCGGTACGGTAATTTAAATTGTCACATCCTGTCGAAAGTGAGCAAAAGGAGTGGGGGATCTAAGTCGTCGTGGTGGAAGGATTTGGTTTCGTTAGGGAAGAGGAACCAAACATATTTTTTTGGTAAAAATTGTTTTTTTTTTCTTTGCGTTCTGGTTCGGCAATCCCTTTTTGGCACGCAATGTGGGCCAGAAATTTGATTTTTGAAGATTTCTGGAGGATATTCCCATCTGTTTACAATTGTAGCAACCGAAAGTTTGCAACTGTTATGGAGATGGGTTCCAGAATTGGTGATATATGGTATTGGGGCGATTTCGGGTTATCAGGGCCAGATTTTTGTCGCTGTTTCGTGTTGTGCAGGGGCTGCTGTAGATTATGTATTTGTTTATTTTGCAGGCTGGAAATGTAGACCGCGTGCAGTGGCTGCCAGACCCGCAGACGGGGTCCTCTGCTAGCGATGGATATAAATATCAGTTCCTCAACTCAAGTGCAGTTCAGTTAGCGAATAGTTCTGAAATGGCTTATAATTCTACGTGGAATTCTAAAGTTCATTTTTGAATTAAGTCTTTTGGATAGAGGAGTTTATTGAACAGGTTAGCTTCGAAGGATCAATCATTTTGAAGGAGAATGTTTGCCTCTCTTTCCGACCTCAATGGTGTTTTTTATTCCGAAGATAATGAGAATTTGGCTCATTTATTGTTGTCCTGCCGTTTCAAATGTTGTGTGGAGTGTTATTGCGGGTTGGGTGAGTAAGCCAACTTTGGATCATGAAGATATTTGTAATAGCTTTTTAGATTGGAATGTTTTTTTCATATCCAGGAAGGTGAAATTTGATAAAGAAAATATTGTTTGATTGGCGGTCACTTGGTCTTTGTGGAGGGTTACAAACGATATGGTTTTTAACAACGTCAGGAGTAGTTTGTCGGACATTGTTTGGAGGATTAAAGTGTTGGTTTGAAAGTGGTCTCTTATAGGTGAAATTTTGGTTTGGAAGTGGTTCTTTATAGGTGACATTTCTTTTGCCAATTGTAATTTTTATGAATTTAACAAAATCCCTTTATTTTATTTAGCTTAAGTTGCATTTGGATAGAAATTTTTCTTTTTCTCAAGTTTTATCTCGTTTTGTAATCGGGTTAGAATATTGTCCAGTACTCTTTTCAATTCAACTTGCTTACAAAAAAAGAAAATGGTTAATGGTTAAAGTTTACAAAATACTAGTTAATATTTAGAACTTTAAAGTTATATCTAGAATATAGGATAATCTATATTGTTTACTTTCTAATCATAGCACAATATAATACAGATGTCAATGGGAATTGGCAATAAGCATTAAGAACAAGCATGCTGAAACCTCCCCACTATACTTAGCACTTGCCTAATCCTACTTTCTATCGTAACATGAAGTATCACATTTGAATAAGTATATGGATAGGTAAATTGTGCTTTGCCTGGTCAACAAGAGACATATAGCGTCCTAGAGCTATAGGAAATGACTCTGTCTGCAAGAACAGGTGTAATATCCAAGTCCATCCTAAAGAATGATGTCCATATGAGGTGTTGGGGGTAGTCTCCATACATATCTCTTAGCTGACTAACAAACATTAAGTTCTTCAATTTTCAGCACAAGGAATGCATGACTTGACACCGCATGTATCGAATCACAGACTTCATTCAAGCAAAATTTAAATCATGCCAGATAATTCCTTTCAAGATTCAAATTAAACATCAAAATCAGCAATTTTACCGAAAATATAATCAAGCTTCCGACAAGAATGCAAGTTCTAAATTCTAAACCATTTTAAGACCTTAGCTTTTAATAGTCAATACTTCCCTCCAATGCATAATAAGTAGATAATAAAGTTGTAATGGAGGAACTTTGTTACCAAGCTTGTGTATGTTGTTGACAAATGTTTTGGCATTTCAAGCTTGTGTGTGTTGTAAGCAATATTTATCAAGCTATTCTCCTACTAAACTACCTCTTAATAAATTCAGTTATTATCATCATTCACCAAGAAATTAGGACTCAACTACAGACATTTTTCTGCAGATTCTGCATGCATCCTTGCGCTCAGAAGCATGAATTAGACCTGCATTTTTGCACCTACAACTTAAGTACATATTCAATCATGAAATTGTATTGAAAACGCATGAATTATACCTGAATTTTTGCATTCAAAACCCATGAATTAAACCTCAAAAAATTAGAAAGTGGTTAATGATAAGGTAGATCACAAAGGTCTTGATGAAGAACTTCTCTAAGATTTGTGACAACCTCTGATTGTTTTTGTTTTTTTTTTGCTTTATGTATCTTTAAGTATACCGGATGTGAGTATTGAAAAAATTAAAATTAGCAAATAACATCAATTCTAATGTAAACTGAGGTGACAATATCGGTAAGTTTTAAAAATTGGTATCAGTCTACCAATTTAGTCTAACTAATTATAAAATTCTATCGATTTCCATCAATTTCGAACTTACTAATCTATCAGTATGTGAAGTAAAAAGAAACAACAATAACAAAAGCCTTTTTCCAATTAGGTGCAGCAGCTACATAAATGAAATGATGAAATGATTTTGAAACATAAATTCAAAATAATAACAATGTATAGGTAGAAAAATATCTTACATAATTTTGCTATATTTCTCTAAGAAGTTTCTCTACTTTGTCATTTTCATTTTCTTTTTCTTTAAAGAGAGAAAGAATAAGTATTTCATAAGTAATAGCATCCAAAATGCAATCGTTGTCTTTTATTTTTGACATCATGGTCAGTGCTTCATCAAACAAGCCCTTGTTACAAAATCCGTTGATCATAGTACTGTTATAACTATAGACGTCAAAAGTGTATCCTTTGTTAATAACACAATTGCCTTGTCAAGATGATTATTTTTGCATAAAACATTCAATATAGAATTGTACGTAATTATATTAGGTGGTTGACATCTATCATGCATCTCATCAACAAGCTCTAAAGCATATGATATTCTCCCAAATTTGCACAAACCATCAATAAGAGAACCGTAGATTATTGTATCAGGAGTGATATTTTTGTGATGCATTTCTTGAAAGAGATTCATGTCTTCATCCACCATTTTAATCTTACAAAATCCATTAATCGTGATAGTATAGTTGTAAACATTAGAAGTCGCTCACATTTGGACCATACTGTTGAATATATCATTGGCCTTGCATACATCACTTACCAAACAATATCCATCCATTAAAGAGTTAAAAGTAAAATCATTAGGTTTGATGCTTTTTTTCATCATCACAGATATAACATTTTTAGCTTCTTTCACCTTTCCTTTCTTACAAAAACCATCAACCAAAATATTTAAGGTACACACATTAGGGTTCATGTTTTCCAATATCATTTTATCGAACAAACCAATTGCATCTTTCAATTGACCCACAATGCAAAAGCCATATATTAATGCATTATAAGTAAAAACATCAGGAGAGATTCTCTTAGCAAACATTTCAAAATATAAATCAAAAGCATCGTTAACAAATTTACCTTTGCACATACTATCAATGATTGTACTATACATTACCACATTAGGCTGAATCAACTTTCCATCAACTTGTCTGAGCAATTGCAATGCTTATGTTGTTTTTCCAAGTTTACATAAGTCATTAATCAAGGTGCCATAACAAACTTGCTCCACATGAAATCCCTGCGCTACCACCTCGACATGAAAGTACAACGATTCGTGGAGGTCACCTTTGAGACTGTGACTCTTGCTCTTGCTGATGAAAGCCTGATTCTGAGACAAAAACAAAAACAATAGAATTAGATGCTAAGTATTTCAACCAGAATTTAGAGTTAAAGGAACTTGACAACAACACATCCATAGCATATTGAGCTGTATCTATGCAATTGACTTTTTCACTTCACTTGCTATTCAATCTTTCAACACCTATTTACAATTTCATATTGATTTTTATCATGCAAACTAGTATTAGAACCTTACTAGTTCTTGAACTAAACAAGCCTAAAAGATAGCATTCTAGTCTACCTTACTAATACCATTCGAGTAAATAGATTTTGGGGCTTCAATTCATCATAAAATCTTACAAAAATTTATTTCCAAGTTTATACATATTCTATTAACAATTTATACCAAAATGTAAGATATCTCATCCAAAACTACAGCACTAGCAATTATGTAGAAAATAGAATCATGCTTCCTACAAAGCATTCAAGCTCTAAACTCTAAGCCTAGGGACCAAGCAATTTGAAGATCATTCCAATTCTCAATACTTGTCTTTAATGCATATATGAGTAGATTTTTCAGCTGGAATGAGGCCTAGATTACTCATTAGACAGTAAATTAATGTAGCCAGCCACCAGAACCATTTAAGTCATTCTCATCTTACCCTTCTCTTAAGTGCAATGTCAAGCTGGTTCCTGTTGTGTACAATTCAGGTCTTAGCAATTACATTCATGTGCCGGCTTAGCAGATTTCAGAACCTCTTTAGTGGTTGGTGCATTTGTATTAGCCTGCTGGGTGTTAGTTTGAGTCTCTAAACCTCTGTTGGAATGCTAAAGAAAAAGATGCTAGCATGAGCAAGCAATTCATTTTGAGATGTCAATGGGTTACATAAGGCAGCCTTATTAAATGATATCAAAATCACCAACTCTACTTGTTCCACCTTTCTTATAAGAACAAAGCATATACCAATGCATTAGAATCCAAGATGACTTGTTGACCATGGCCTAATAAAATTCCAAAGAGAAAAGGATAACATATAAACAAACATTAAATCAAATAAGTAGAAGATACTTACTAGAGTAAATTAGGAAGGTTAGGAAAGATGAAAAGCAGTCATGTAGGTAAACTTCACATTGTTTTTGTTCTAGTCACCATGGCTGCAAATGACGAGGATACAAATATCCATTTTTTGGTCTACTGATCTTCCCAATCTCCAATTATGGCTAATCTTCCAGCACTATGGACAGTTCTAAACCACATCCAGTTGAGTGATGCTACTAACAATGAGGTAATTTAATAACATCTAAAGAAAGAAAAATGCAAGACACTCACGGGATCTATAAAGGTTCAAATAATTAGTGGATTGACTCTATTTGAGTCGACGGATTCGTGGGTCAACCCGCATCCATAAACACCCCTTATTTGTATGGTATTTTCTTTAATTAGATAAATATCCTGATAGTAATAATAAACAACTCCATAGAACTAGGCATGGAAAGTCAAGCAAAGGATTGTGGCTAGAAGAACAACTTTTGAAAAGACACATTTTCAAAATTAGGCCACGGACAGGAGAGTGAAGTAGCTATAGAAGAAGAAATTGAGTTTCATAGGTTGCATGCAATTCACAAAGAAAGAAGATCAGCTTAGAATGCATAATATGATTGTGCACTTTTCATAACTTTTCTCTAACAATTTCAAGTCTTCCTCGTCTAGCATAAGCTGAAGTTGAATCATCAAAACCGGTAATTCAGATCTTCTCTGCTTCTAACAAAAGTAGATCAGATTTCACAGAAATATGCCTCTACTAACATGTCTTTAAGCTCTTCTATCTTGCACAACGAATGAATACATGATAAAATAAATGAAGTTACCTGTTCTGTCCCAATTCAATTTAGTAGCCCTAAGACCAAACCTTAATCTCAACTTGTTATCTTATGACCAATACATCTTTCTAAGTTCAATTACGAACAATAAACTAAGTCCCAAAACTGCAGAATTAGAATTATGCAGTAAAACAGATACTGCAGGGAACTTTTTAGACTGGAAATTCATTGCATCCATCAGCCAAGCCATATCAAGTGTCTTCTTTTATTATGATAATGTTGCAATTAATAACAGTTATATTTCCCAATTTTCCATGATCTTAAGAATCACAACTGCAACCACAAGTCAATACTTATAAGATATTAATTAATAATTTGAAGAATGGAAAAGGGCATATTACCATGCTGTGTCAGGATCCTTTGCCTCACAAAAAGGGTCTTTTCTTGAAGACCGGTCTTGTTGTATCGAAGTAGATTATATAGAACAATTGTGAGGTTTCTTACAGTGAACTATCTTAAAGGTTTCACATATAGGATTATAGTGGTTAGACATGTATCTTATTCTAGTAACGATAAAGTGACTTTTATACCAATGCATATATATAATGTTACTGTTAAGAGTCCCACATCGGACAATATATGGCCTGAACATGACTTTATAAGTGGGAGTAATCCTCACCTTACAAGCTGGTTTTGTAGGGTCGAGTTAGGCTCAACCCACACATTCTAAGATGGTATCAAAGCCTCATCTAAGATCCATATTCCTGGGCGTGAGAGGGGGTGTTAAGAGTCCCACATCGGACAATATATGGCCTGAACATGACTTTATAAGTGGAAGTAATCCTCACCTTACAAGCCGGTTTTGTAGGGTTGAGTTAGGCCCAACTCACACATTCTAAGAGAAATAAATAGAAACAGAGTTCCAATAAACGGAACCCATGGACCATATTCTTCTCCAATCTGAGTTTTGCTCACGTCTCGAATGAATTCAAGGACATATTCAAAAAAATTCTGACCAGACGTGGGAATAGTTTGCGGATTTCTAACAACTAGAATGGTTGAAATTAATAAGATAGCAATTACAGAAAAAAAAATCGCAAAATCCGATCCAATTTATCGTAATCGAGTAGTTAACATGTTGGTGAACCATATTATGAAACACGGAAAAAAATCATTGGCGTATCTAATTATCTATCAAGCTCTGAAAAGGATTCAACAAAAGACAAAAACAAATCCACTATACGTTTTACGTCAAGCAATACGTGGGGTAACTCCCACATCGGACAATATATGGCCTGAACATGACTTTATAAGTGGAAGTAATCCTCACCTTACAAGCCGGTTTTGTAGGGTTGAGTTAGGCCCAACTCACACATTCTAAGAGTTACCAATATAAATGATTATATGAGAGCTTCTACTTAGAGACAAATTTGGTATCATGTATAACATTTGCGTAATGAATTGATGACACTATTTCAAAAATAATTAGAAAATCAAAGTGATTAAATTAAGTGATTGAGATATTAAAGTTGTAGAAGTGATCATCGACTTGAGCTTACCCGCGAACCCGACCAACATGAATTAGCTGACTCAAAATAAATTGGTTTTGACTTAAATGTTATCAAGTAACTAGAGGAATGTGTGTCAGATTCTTATACAAAGCGTTAAGAGGCAATTCTATGTTGGATGCACGAGTTCGAAAATTACAAACAAGATTGTTATCAAGTTACTTTGACTTCTGTATTACACAATTGCAAGAAATAGAACCTGCTACTAAACATGTAATTTCAGAACAGCAATGACATTTAAAAGACAATAGAAACAGCTCAAAGCCAAAGGATTTCAAACCTAAAAGCGAAATCAGAACTCACAATGTTCTAATTCTCTAACCAAACATTTATCCTAAATATCATGGGCCATGCTTTTAGGCCTAAATAAGAAAACATGCATCCATGATCCCATACATTTTCAGCATGTTTTTAAAATGTGAATGATAATGATGTGCATTTGAACATGTACCCATTTGAGAGATCAACAAAACAGTAAAATAGAAGAACTGTAAATTGTAGTGCTACTTTAGGTTAATAGTAAATCTTTTGGTGGAAACAAATTCAACAAGACATTATCAATGGAACTATTGTGATTACATTATAGCAATGACATTCAAAAGATAAGAGCAATAAATTAAAACCAAACATCTTGCATGAAGGCCTAAATAAGCATCTTACCTATTTTCAATTTTATAGTAGACCTCTCGCAATCATTTCACGAAGAAGTTTCTGTGCTTTATCATTTTCATCATTTTCAAATAGGGAAAGAATAATGATTTCATAAGTTTGAGCATCTGGAATGCAACCATTGTCTTTCATTTTTGATAGCATGGTCAACGCTTCATCAAACAAGCCATTGTTGCAAAATCCATGGATCATAATGGTATATGTATAGACAGTAAGATTGTAACCTTTGATCAAAAGTTCTTCAAAAACCTTTCGTGCATCCTTTAGTCTTCCACCTTTACACAATCCATCGATAAGAATATTGTATGTGCACATACTAGGTTGCATACCTTTGTCTTTAAATTCTTTAAATAATGCAATTGCTTTGTCAACGTCATGATTTTTGCACAGAGCATCTAATAAAGAATTATAAGTAATTATATCCGGTGGTTGACCTCTATCATGCATCTTATCAACAAGCTCCCAAGCATACGAGATATTCCCCGATTTGCACAAACCATCAATAAGAGAATTGTAAGTTATCGTATTGGGAATGATTTTTCTGCAATGCATTTCTTTGAAGAGATTAATAGCTTCATCCACCATTTTAACCTTACAAAATCCATCGATCATGATATTGTAGCTCCAAACACCAGCAGTCACTCCTCTTTTGAACATAATGTTGAATATATCATTGGCCTTGTTTACTTCATTTACTAGACAATATCCACCCATTAAAGAGTTATAAGTAAAAATGTCGGGTTTAATGTCTTCTTTAATCATCACAGCTAACACATTTTGCACTTCTTTCACCTTTCCTTCTTTACAAAAACCATCCACCAATATATTAAAAGTATACACATTCGGGTCGATGTTTTCCAATGTCATTTTATTAAACAAATGAATTGCTTCTTTTAATTTACCAACAATGCAAAAGCCACTAATTAAAGCATTGTAAGTGAAAACATCGGGAGAAATTTTCTTTGCAATCATTTCAGAATATAAATCACATGCATCACAAACAAGATTATCTTTGCACATACTACTAATGATTGTATTGTACATTACCACATCAAGTTGAACCAATTTTCCGTCAACTCGTCTAAGCAATTGTAGGGCTGCTGTTGTTTGTCCCGCTTTGCATAAACCATTGATCAATGTCCCATAACTAACTTGGTCCAACTGAAATCCCTGAACTACCAGCTTGTCATGAAATTGCAATGCTTTATGGAGGTCACCTTTGAGACAGAGACCCCTGATGAGTGTATTGAAGGTAACGCAACCTGGGTGATAACCTCTCTTAAGAATCTTGGTTAAAACAGAAAAAGCAAAAGTAATATGACCCAATTGAGAGAGAGAATTGATGAGGATGTTATGAGTTACAAAATCAGGAGTAACTCTATTCAATTCCATCTGTTGAGAAAGGTAAACAACAGTGAGGTAATGTTTGGCCTTGCCAAGAGAACCTAAAATCTTGCAAAATTCAATGGTGGGTGGGGTGGGATTCTTATGAAGCATTCGATTGAACAAGGAAACAACATCAACGTCATCATTGAAATGTTGAAGACAGTGAGAGTATGCTCTCGAATTGAGAATGGAAACAGAAGCAACGTGCCTTAAATACGACATTGTTGTCTTGTCGCGAATTGTATGTTGTGTTGGAATTGGAATTGGAATTGAAATAAAAGAATACCTAAATCTGGATTTGGAATGATGCAGTGAAATAGTAAAAGAATACCTAAAATATTGAATTCGAATGAAGCAGTAACATGATATAGAAAATATAATTAGTTAAAATAGATAATATCCAATAAAAACATTTATGATAATTTTAAAAAAAAATGTCGGTCTTCTTATCATACTTTGAGACATATCAACAAAATAGTTACGAAATCTCTTAAGAATTCAATTGGTATACTTCCCATAGTGTAAAAAGTAGTTTTCTGTTATAAGTGAATCGTCACGGTTAAAAATTTATTAAAATTTAACTTTTATTTTAATTATTCATAAAATAATATTTATTAATGATTATGATATATTGATTATGTAAAAAAATTTATCCTGAAAATGTATAGTAATTAGTCTCATATCTAATAGTTTAATTTAGATCAACAAAATATTATGCATTACTTCGAGGATCTTAATAGTCGAGAAAATTAAAAGGGAAATACTCGTCTTACTCTATAGAAAGTGCGTTTCACATTTTTGAAAATTCTAAAAAGATTTTGTTGTATATGAAAATACATCTTCCAGATATCAAAACTAGGATAAATTTAATATTTTTGTATATTGAACGGTATCTCGGAGTCATTATGTGCACTCTTGCATTAGGAATCTTAGAGTGCACCTAGAACATGTTTGGAAAAAGTTGTTAACATGTATCATGCATTAAAAATCAATTTTTACATAAAAATTAGTTGCATGTGTCGACACAATCGTTTTATGCGTCGACACATGTGGGTCAATAATAAAGCATGTAGGCTCTGTAACTATGTGTCGACACATACATTACTTCAGATCGAGACATGCTGAAAAATAACTTGCATGTGTCGACACATAGACTTTTGGTCATCTTTTTGTACCTTTTACATACCAAGTGTCTTGTCTTTTGGAAGTTTCATTTTTATTCCTCAACGGGGTTTAAGGGAATTTCATACCTCCTGCATCCCCAAGGGAGTCTTATTCCCCAGCTGAGTTCTATCTTGTTTCTTATGTGTAGTAGAAGATGAAGTATTTTTTGTGTAGTAGAAGATGGAGTATTTCTTTTGTGTAGTAGAAGATCGAGTTATTTCTTCTGTGTAGTAGAAGATATCTTGTTTCTTCTGTGTAGCAGAAGATATCTTGAAGTTCAGTTTCTGAGTTCTATCTTGTTTCTTCTGTGTAGTAAAATATGGAGTATTTCTTCTGTGTAGTAGAAGATGAAGTATTTCTTTTGTGCAGTATAAGATCGAGTTATTTCTTTTGTATGGTAAAAGATATCTTGCTTCTTATGTGTAGCAGAAGATATCTGGAAGTTCAGTTTCTGAGTTCTATCTTGTTTCTTCAGTGTAGTAGAAGATCGTGTTATTTATTATGTGTAGTGGAAGATATATGATTTTTTTCTATGTAGTAAAAGATATATGGAAGTTCAATTTCTGAGTTCTATCTTGTCTCTTATGTGTAGTAGAAGATGCAATATTTCTTCTGTGTAGTAGAAGATGAAGTAATTCTTCCATGTAGTAGAAGATCGAGTTGTTTCTTCTGTGTAGTAGAAAATATCTAGAAGTCCAGTTTCTTAATTCTATCTTGTTTCTTTTGTGTAGTAGAAGACGGAGTATTTATTTTGTGTAGTAGAAGATGGAGTATTTCTTTTGTGTAGTAGAAGATTGGGTTATTTCTTCTATGTAGTAAAAGATATCTTGTTTCTTATGCGTAGTAGAAGATATCATGTTTCTTCTATGTAGTAGAAGATATCCGAAGTTCCGTTTTTGTGTTCTACCAGATTTCTTTTGTGTAGTAGAAGATATCTTGGAGTTCAATTTTTGTGTTCTACATGATTTCTTCTGTGTAGTAGAAGATATCTTGGAGTTCAATTTTTGTGTTCTACCTGATTTCTTTTATGTAGTAGAAGATATCTTGGAGTTCAGTTGTTGCGTTCTACCTGATTTCTTCTGTGTAGTAGAAGATATCTTGGAGTTCAATTGTTGCGTTCTACCTGATTACTTCTGTGTAGTAGAAGATATCTTAGAGTTCAGTTATTGCATTCTACTTTATTTCTTCTGTGTAGTAGAAGATATCTTGTAGTTCAGTTATTATGTTCTACATGATTTATTTTGTGTAGTAGAAGATATCTTGGAAGTTAGTTGTTGCATTCTACTTGATTTCTTCTGTGTAGTAGAAGATATCATGAAATTCAGTTTTGGGCGTTCAACCTTGTTTCTTCTGTGTAGTAGAAGATATCTTGGAGTTCAGTGTTTGTGTTCTATCTATTTTCTTATGTGTATTAGAAGATATCTGGGAGTTCAGTTTTTTGTGAGTTCACTTGGTTAAGCATCCATTTTCATCTTTATTATTATTTGTGGAAATCATTTTGGGATATCTTCCATACATAAAAAAAATTACCTCAAAAATACCATTACACCTCCCCCCAGAGTGCAAATTTTATGGTTTTTTTGGTATTTAATATTCTTCTACCTAGAATTTTTGAAGGTTGTTGCTCTTCATACCTTTAGGTTTAAGATGATTAAATAGGTGAAGGTTGTACCTGTTGGCTCCTAAATTCGACACCCTTGTTTGTTATCATATAGACCATTGATTATGAGTCAGAAGGTTTCCTACATAAGGAGGCTTCGACCAACTGATCATGTTGAAGGGTCATCAAAGAATGACAAGATACTTAGAGAAATTCCTTTAAGTTGGAATCTTGTTGTCTTCGACGTCGAAGGAATCTCTCGACAAAGGTCCCTGATGCTCAAGGTCGAACAGTTTGAGATTTGAATTGTTGGAGGGAAAATGGTTCCCAGCAGTTACCAAGTGCAACGTGCCGAGAACAGAAGCGTCGAAGGCTGTGAGCGTGCCATGTGGCATCATCTCGAAGCAGTGTAACTGCCCAGCGGTTACTTAGGATTTGTTTTAGTATAAATACTAGTTGTTCACGTAGTTTTCGCGTGTGTTCATCATCTTATACAAGTCACTCATATAGATTCAAGTACCCAGCGTGAGAGAAAGAATCATTGAGAATGTATGTGTGAAACACCATTTAAATTAATCAAAGTCTTTTATATTCAAGCAATTTATCGCTTTTCATTTACTTATCTCCGTCGAAGCCTTTTACTTAACGCTTTTATTTATTCTATCAAGCTTTTCTTCATGTAATTTACTTAAAGTGTCTTTACTTTACTGGCATTAATCACCATTAGGATTAGTCAAACTCCAAAAAATCAACCATGTCTTAGGATCAATCTGATCGATCCTGCTAGTCACCAAATAAGTAACCTTTTGGAAGATCAGCGGTTGTTTACCAATTTTTACGGTAAACAAATTGGCACACCCGGTGGGACCTTGTGTTGATTTTTACGATTAACCATTTTATATAAAATATCCTCCTTTTTCGAGAGTATTGCATGTTATTGAGAAGTGGTAGAATATACACCAACGAAACCAATACTAGGAGAAGAAGTGAAGATATGACGAATCTGCCAAACAATGGAGAAATCCCACAAACAAACGTGGGAGCAACGGTTATCCCAACCGTAAGCGAAGCGGTAACCGCTGGTTCAACGCCAGTAGTAACGGTTACACAAACGGGGCCATTACCTCCATTTACAGGCCCCAGAATGCCTTTGGGAACTCCCCCACCAAGGGGAAACCAAGGAACTAGGCCATATGTTCCCCCAGGTTTTTCGATAGTCGGTTTAAATTGAGAACCACTCTATCACATGCCAACTTCTGAATTGGCTAGCCTGACGAATGCTACGTCCACTTTTTCAGACCCTTTAGTGAGCGCCTCTTCGCCACTCCAAGGCTCTGGGGTTGGTATGGCGAACAGGGGTAGGACCCAACTCTTAGGAGGAACGTCCCAAGTAATGCATGGCCTTACGAATGCCTCGACAGCAGTCTTGAGGCAGCAAATGGACGAAAGCAACCACGACATGGTTCAAATGTTGGCGCAAACTTTAAGCACAGTGCTAAATCCTCTAATACAGAATACCACCCAGTCGAATCAGCAAATGACAGCGCAAATGTCGCGTCTGGCTGACTTTTTTGGGGTACCCCAACCTATTCGACAGCCCCAAAGGGCACAAATAAGGGGAAACCAAGGTATACTTCTAGAGGAAGAAACCACTATTAACCAAGTCCAGCAGCCTGTCGAAGAAAACCTTAGGGTACAAATGGAACAACCCGGGGTCGAAGAGCCTAGAGTCATAGCCCCAGAAGTAAGGATGGTTAATAGAAACCAAAACGCTGACGAAGTAGTTCAGCAGATCCAATACCAGAATATGGGTTTGGAAAATAACTTGACAACCATGATTGAAAGAATCATGATGCAAAATGGGATGAATACGGGCCTCCGTAGGCCCAACTTCACATCCCCGCTGTCAGAATATGTGTTACAAACGAACTTGCCTCCAAGAGGCAAAGTCCCTAAGTTCACTAAGTTTTCAGGGGACACGACAGAATCCATTGTCGAACATGTGGAAAGATACTTGATCGAAGCAGGAGAGATTTCAAACAATGAGAACCTGAGGATTAAGTATTTCCCAAGTTCCCTAACAAAGAATGCGTTTACTTGGTTCACAACTCTTCCCCCCAATTCGATCCACCATTGGACCTAGTTGGAGAGACTATTCCATGAGAAATTCTACATGGGACAAACCAAGATAAGCCTGAAAGAGTTGGCCAGTGTAAAGAGGCGATTCACTGAACCTATAGATGAATATCTAAATAGGTTTAGGTTGCTCAAGGCAAGATGCTTTACGCAAGTGCCAGAACATGAGTTAGTCGAAATAGTCGCAGGAGGTCTAGATTACTCCATTAGGAAGAAATTAGACACTCAGTACCTGAGGGACATGGCCCAATTGGCCGATAGGGTTCGACAGGTCGAACGACTTAAAGCTGAAAAAGCCAGGGCGACGAAAACTCATAAAAGA